CACTGAAGCCATTATGGGAATGTTTTCTAATGATAGATCAATAAATGTAACTTGAGTTGCTCTCTTTCAACTGCTCAAAACCTCGAGCAGATCAAATTGCAACCACAGAAGTACAGCAGCGAAGCTAGATCTGTGGCCTGTGTAAGAACAGGTTTGACCTGCATAATGTATCATGTTGCACATATACAGACCCTGTGCTTCAGCCCTGTGCATTCTTATTAAATTTCAGCCTGTCCTTTTCAACACAGACATCCATGTGCGTTCAGTCATGCTCCCTAGCTTGACATCTGCTGCAGTTAAGGAACAGAATTTGGGGAGAACGGAGTTAGTACAAAAAAGCTCTGAGTTATTTCATTTTGTCTTGATGCCACATGGAGTATTGTGTTCAGGCAGACTTGATCCCAGTCTCTTTTCTCTGTCCCTCCCTGCCCTCTGGGATAGCTCTCTATTTTACCTCCCACCCCATCACTTAGAGTTAAGTGAGTGTAACCCCACAGATTATAAAGCTGTCCTTGGGTACACCTGCCTGTGCTATTCTCCTATCAGCATGGCTTGTAAACACATCCCCAGTATTACAGTCCCATTCTTTTTTTCTCTGCTTTCTGCAGTCAGTGAACTTTCTCTGTTGCTATAGTCACTCTTCCTTTGTGATGAGGTTACCAAATCCTTCCATTACTACTGTAGTTGATACCTAGCCATGTGGTTTCTTACTGTAGCAGTTCAAGATCAGTGTCTCAGCACAGTGTCTACTTATTGGTTTGAACTGTTCTTCTTCTTGTTCTAGAGTTCCTAAAATAATAATTTTCACTTAATAAAAACACGTCTCCGCCCCAAAAGCCAAAACACAGTCTTGCAGTGTGCGAGGACACTTTCCCCTGACGCTGAATTTGGCCCACACTGATTTTAAATGTGGCAAGTGGTTCTCTTGTAAAGAATTTCAGTAGCTCCCTGATTGCCGTTTCCTTGCGAGTATTTTTACTGGCATGAAAACTAGAAAATTCAGGATAAAAATCTTCCTAATTGTGAGACCAGTAGGACAATGGAACAAGTTGCGTAGTGAAGCTGAGGAATCTCCTTGATTGGGGGACTTTCAAGAAAAGGCTGTATAGACATCTGTCTGGGCTGGCTTAGGGACAGCGCATCCTGCATCAGTTAGATCGGCGTTTCGTAACCAATGGGTTGCAACCCAAAAGTGAGTCACAAGAATATATGAAAGGGTTGTGAACAAACTTTAAAAATGGGTTCTCCTTTGAAGGAGAAAACCGTGGGAAACTATGGCTTTTCCCTTGCTGGCTGGCAGAGTTCCAGCCTGCAAGGAGCTGCTTGGGGCTCCCCATGCGCCACACGTACCACCTCCCTTGCCCCATACACCCATCCCCTGCCCCACATGCTTCGGGGGCTGGGGCCTGGGAGCAGGGGGCAGCGGGGTGAGAGTGGGGGGCACTGGGTCAGGACTGGCCATCAATGTTTACAAGTGGGTCCTGGTACAAAAAGGTTGAGAACCACTGGTCTAAGTAGGCAAGGACGACTAAGGGCAAGGGAAAGGAAAGTTGAGTTAGCTTGGTTTGACAGGTGGCAAATTGAGGTACATGCGGATTAAGTGACTTAAGGGACCACAAAAGTCTTTTCTGGCAGTGTGCGGGGCAGGGGGTAGGTGTGTGGAGCAGGGAGAGCCCCAAACAGTCCCTTGCAGGCTGGAACTCTGCCAACCTGTAAGTAAAAAGCCATAGTTTCCCATGGTTTTTCTCCTTTAAAAGAAAATCTATTTTTAAAGTTTGTTTGCAACCCTTTCATATAGTCTTGCAACTCAATTATGGGTTGTGACCCATGGGTTGAGAAATGCTGGACTAAATGACCCTCAAGGTCCTTTCCAACCCTATGATTCTGTGAAACAAAACAGAAGGCAGGGTAGATTTGCACTTTATAGACTAACCAAAGTAGCTGCATAGTACAAACTCTTCCATGAGATGAAGTTCACTTCATCAGATGCTGTGAAAGGGGGTACACAAAACCGCATATGAGGAGAAAGAATTTTTTGAATACAAAAGCAGAAAGGAGGGGCAGAGAGGGAAAGGGGTGCAGTGCTGCGGAAGTACACAAAACCGCATATGAGGAGAAATAATTTTTTGAATACAAAAGCAGAGAGGGAAAGGGGTGCAGTGCTGCGGAAAAGCAAACATGCAAATAATAAACCCATAGAAACAAAGGAGTCACAACAGTTATCCACCTAATGGGATAGGAATCCATAGTCTTCGTTTAAAACATACTTAACACCAATCCAGTCTGTGGATGATTTTTCTGATCCACCGTTCCCATGCAAATCTGTTTCTGAAGATTTTCTGCCTGAGAACAGTCCCCCTTGGGTCAGTGATGGACTGTCCAAGGAGGTTAAAGTGTTTTGCAACAGGCCTGCACATCCTCTGCATAAAGTAACACATGCAACATAACATTCCTTCCATAAGTCTTCAGGGAACTGAAGCTATGACCTGTAGTGTAACAGTAGGTGGGCAAATGACATGTTCACCTTAGATGCTGACTAGGAGAGGTGCAAGAATGGCAGCTGCTGCTGACCCAGCCACTGTTGCACCAGCCACTACCACATGGCTCAAAACTTCTGAACTGCACCTCTAGCAGTGACCATCACAGCATGGGCGACCAGACATCTGGCTCCTCTCCATGCTGTTTCCTTTTGTACTCATACTTCTCCCATGCCATATACCTGTGTCTCACTGACTCCATAAAGTATGAAAGGTCAGCATAGAGATGAATCAGTTGCTGTTTCCCTTGCACAGTGCCCATATATTGGGGGGGGAAAGGGAGAAAATTGGGTTTTGGCATTTAGAATTAGACAAGATTTTTACAACTTGACGCATGCTGCAGAGACCTTCTGGCCTGCTCCTCTTCTCCATCTCAGCATAGAGCTCTTTACTGGCACTAGGCATTGTGCTAAGTGAACAAGCTTCCTGAAGCCTGGGGCTTTTAACATGTTTGGTGGTTACAGATCTGCAGTTTTCATGTGCTCAGGACTGCCCTGACCATGTGCTAGCTTGACATGAAGTTATTTACTAAAATTCGCCTTAATTGTAGCAAATTGCAACCAGTGCCCTCTGTAACACTCAATACCTTTCCTGCCTAAACCAGTTTATGATTTCTCATATGTACAACATACCATCTTACAGCAGCGTGATCGCCCCGTTTCCAAGTCATCAGGCATAAGATGCTGTCAGAATCCCTTTGGAGGGTGTATGCACATCTTTTTTTGGAAGGAAAGCAACCTAATGCAGGAGCAGCACTTCAGTGCTTGTGATACTACACAAGAAATATTTGCATTGTGCCAGTAATTATGGAAGAAGTTGGTTAATCTTCCATTTATTTGGGGCATAGTTCCCTATCAAAACACTTTAAACTGACCACCCCCAGCCTTCAAATAAGTTGAATTTTGCTCCACAATGAAACCTTGTGGTTTGATTTCATTTCTGGTATTTATGTAAAAGAAAAAGTTCCTTATTGGATTCCAGCCAGAACAAGCAACTAACACTGTTCAGTTTCTCAGCATTGGAATAATTGTGGCATACCCCACTGTTGGCAAATTTGCATTACTTTCAAAAGTGAATGTGTGGCTGGAATCCAGAGGTACTTATTTACACTGATGAAAACAACAATGTAACTAGCTAGTTAAAGAGAGGGCAGACTGCCTGGTAAGCAAGCAAGGGGGCTACATGCTGTATGTAGTCCTTTCTGGATATAATTATCCAGCTAGTTGTGGAGGGAAATTACCTGAATAGTTGATTAATACCAGATTAATTTCAGGTGCTGAACTCATTACACATTTACACCAGTGTAATTCACATCTGTTTATATACACTGGTATAAATTATAGGGGGCTCTCGAGCAGACACACCTGGAGCTACTCTGAGGTAGCTATATGCAGTAGGTGAATATTACAACACATTGCCACTAGGTGGTGGGGAGCAAATAATCACCCATTTTTCCTTGAGGAAATGGTCACCTTGGATAAATTGTAGACAGTAAGTACACTGGTCTAACTTACACTGATGAAGTGTTGCCCCTGATTTTTACTGAGGTCATTCTATAATGGATATGAATAAGTTCGGCTGGTGTAAGTTTGTATAGTGTCTGCCAATCCTTTGTTGTTGTTTTAAATTGATGTAAAGGCCGGTTACATCAGTGTAAATGAGTCATATGTCCAAACTGTCTCCTGTGCCTGAAGACCCTGGCAGCCATTACATTTTTTGTGTGTTTATATGCCAGATATTAAACCAGTTGAACTCATTGAAACAGCAACTTCTTTGCAATGTAGAATTATCCCTTAATAATTTTAACATGTGACCAGTTGACATGTTACAATTTGTCTTGCAATCCTGGCATATAATGCTTGACAAATGTAACATTTGCCAGGAGAATGAAACCAGTAGAGCATTCTAAAAGCTCCATTTATCAAGATGTTTCCAGTTTAATCATGCTCAGACTGCCCTGGAAAAAGGAAGTTCCATGGTATTTTATATTAAAGAATGACATGGTTGTGAATAATGAACATTCCTTTTTGACATCACCGGGAAAATTTTTTTCTTAAGTAAGGGTTTAGGATTTCACTTGCAGTGGTAATATATTGTTTGGAAATAAGGTGGAAGTGGGTAGATTTCCTTTTCAAATTAGGCTTTATACAGGAAAATTGTTTGTGAATTTTGATGTGGCACAGAAGGTCATTGTCTTAACTTTCCCATTCATGCTCATCTTGTCTAGTTGATTTTGGCTGGGTGATATATACTTTCAACTAATCAAAGCGCTCAGGCCACCGCCTATTAATGTCAGTGGCTAAACTCTCATTGACTTTAGTAGAAGCAAAATCCTATGGAAAAAACACAAAACAAAACTTTCTCTAATATTTTCACTGTATTTATTTCACTGTTAATACCTCTTTAAAACCTTCTTACAGCAGATACCTGTCAGTACAATGATTCTGTTCTGTTCTCTTCCAGAATGAGAAGGCTTTGGGGCATTCTGTGAGCCGTTCCAGTAACATCTCAAAGGTACTGTACCCAACTGTTTGAAGGCTGGGGTAAATCTGAAATACTGTGATTTTGTTTTATTTTAAATGTAGGGTGTGCATTCTGTTGGGATCAGTGGAAGGTGTTGTTTGTAATTACAGCTAATTATAATTATTGTATTGACTCAAATACCACATGCCCCTGAATAGGACACATGGCTTGTTTTGGAAATGCAGGCTGAAGAAAAACCAGTTTTTCATTGAAAAAAATGGTGTTTAGGTGGTAGAGTCTGTCTTGTTGATGCAGGCTTGGGCCATGAGGAATAGGGGTCAAATCTTTTCATCAGCATCTGTCAAGATGGTCTATCCCTGTCCCCCATGGGTGATGCTTCTACTATACCAGCTACATGGTTAACCTTTTCATAGCTGCATCCTAATTGTTTGCAAACCAACATAATAAAAACCTTAAGTCGGCAGTGGCTGGGGAGGGTTAAACCATTTGATGTTAGACCTGCAGTGGGGAGTGAGGTTAAAGAGAGGAATCCTACCCATTTTCATGTGGCCAAAGCCTCCAGGGCCCCATGGAAATTAGTTTCTTTAAGTCACACACTACAATTTTCCATTGCTAGCTTTTTGGAAAAAGTGCACGTAGTATGTGAACAAATATGTTAATAGCATCACTGGACCTAAACATTAGGTTTGAAATAATTTGTTCTTAATGATCAACTAGCTGTATTTGCATGGAATATTGCTGAGTGCAGTGATGTCTCAGCTTACAATGCCCCTTAAAGTTAAATCATTGTGAGCTTTTCAGAATATGACCTCTTGGCTCAAAGGTATGTTTTATGATAAAAGCCACACTGCCTTATGGGATTTAACAAAGGAACTGTGCTCATTTGGCCCAAACTTCTCCTGGGGTGCATGTGCTCAGGTCGTTTCCTCCTAGGGTAGCTAACACAGCGGGTAAGGTAGAAGACAGGACAGTCCTCTCACTATTGGTAAGGTTGGCGTGGAGCAGTTGTACCACTCACAGAGTGTAAGGACTCTGGCTGTGGCTATGTAGCCCTACCCACCTTTTACCACTGAGGCTAGTCATAGTCAGGTCCTTTGGAACAGTGGTTCTCGACCCTTTTTTGTACCAGGACCCATTTGTAAACATCAGTGGTCAGTCCCAACCTGCTCCCCCCCACCCCCAGGCCCCAGCCCCCCAGTGTGTGGGCCAGAGGATGGGTGTATGGTACAAGGGAGGTGTGTGGGGTTGGGGGCCCCAAACAGCCCCTTGCAGACTGGAACTCTGACAGCCAGCAAGGGAAAAGCCATGGCTTACCATGTTTTTCTCCTTTAAAGGAGAATCTGTTTTTAAAGTTTGTTCACAACCCTTTCATATACTCTTGTGACCCATGGGTCACAACATTGCTTTAGACCATCTTATGCAGCTGAGTAAGTGTGAATCCTTGGGTTGGTGCTGGGAGTTGTTTTGAATGCTATGAAGAATACATAGGAGAAACAATATCTGTCCCACAGAGCTTGTCAGCTCGCAGTCTGCTCTGAAGAAGGGACGACACAAGGCTTTGCCACCCTAGGAGCAGGCCAGTGAGGAAACTGGGCCTCAGTTCTTACCAGTTCACTTCTTCCCACTTCCTCACGCTGGTGCAGCTCTGCTGGCCAAGAGTTGGGGGTGGGACCCAAAGCAATGGCTCATTCTCTGGCTCAGCCTGCTTATTTCCTACCTAACTGCACCCCGCAATGACATAGTGGCTACACAGAGCAGCTATCTGTAGGGCTGTGATGGGACTGGGCCCCAGGGATGGCTGTGATCCTCCCTGGTGGCCACAGGACCCCTATCCGGCTCCAGCTCCTTGGGTAGCCTCTTTTTTCTCCCCTGCCACACCTTGATGAAGTTATTTTATTTTAAAAAGAAAAGGGAAGCTTCCCCAGGGTCCCAGAGCAAGCCCTTTGGCCAGAAGGTCCCTCCTGCACTTAGCTGGTCCCAATCCTGCCCTTTGTCCATGTTCCAGGGCACCATTTGCCATAATGTGGCCCGCCAGGCCATTCTGTCTGGCCTGCGGGGCCCCTAAAAATTTAAGAAAATTAATATTTATCTGCCCTGGGCTGCCTGGCATGCGGCCCTCGATGGCTTCCCAAAACTCAGTGAGGGGCCGTCCGCCCGAAATAATTGCCTGCCCCTGTCTCAAGGGCTATTTGTGGTCTCCTGCCACCCCTCCAGCCACAACCATGCCTTACAGATGTCACCTTAAATTGTCCACTTGGCCTGGTGGCCTATCCTGGGCTTCAGCCCTTTTCTAGGCTTTAGCCACCCTTTGCTTAAGTCTGCTCTGGCTCTATTCTTCTGCTCTCTGGGCCCTCGGCTCTCGCATGGCAGATGTAGCCCTTTCCCAAGCTTCAGCCTTCTGGGTCCCAGACCCCAGGCCAGGCTATTTCTGCTACACTGGTCCCAGACCCCAGGTTGAACTGCTGCCACTTGCCTTGGCTCCCCCAGCTTCAACCTGCACCAGCCCCACAGTCCTCTGGGTCCCTAACCCCAGGCTAGACTGCCTGATCCTGGCCTTAACTTGTCCCACCTTAGCCTAACACTGCACATCAACCCCAGCTCTCTGGGTCCCTGACCCCCAAGCTAAGCTGCCTGCTTCTGAGTGCCTTGACAGGCATTCTGATGTGACCTAAGCCTTGGTGTGTCCTTCAGGCACCCCAGTGTAGCCTCCTCTGCCCCTCTGATAGCCACACCCAGTCCATCAGTACTTAATCAGAATGAAAATGCAAGCCTATTGGCTGTATAACTAAAACTGTTCCCATGCTGGGTCCATAATTACCACCTGCAAGATGGTAGTCCCCCTTAGCTCTCTATTTGCATCTCAGGGATAGCCTGGGTACTGGTCAGTTCTTCTCTGCTGCCATCTTGCTCAGGAGCTCTCCTCCCTACTGCTTGCAGGGTCAGACTGATTGACTGTCCTTGGGCACGGGCCATATGTGCCTACAAAGTCCTGCGCCTTCCTGTCAGGTGGCTCTCCAGCCACCCATGGGGGTTTCCATTTAGGCCTGATGACTAGCCTGCCTTCCTCTGCTGGAGCTTAGCTCAGCTGCCTGCAGTTGTTCCTTCTGTGCTGTCTGCTTACTTCACCACAACTGGCCCAAGCTCAGCCTGCTGCAGCATCCCCAGTAACAGGAGCTTTAGGTTCCCTGGTACAAGGGCACAGAGCCCTGCAGGGAGCATAGGTGAATGACCTGTGCCCACATACTCCTGTGTTTCGGTGCCTTGCCCTAAGTAAACAAGCAGCATAATTCTGACACCTGAAGCACCTTCAGACCAGGACCTGGGTATATCTCAGCTGGAAGGGTTGCTTTGTCCTCAGCTTTTGGGAACAAAAGGTACTGCAACCTATGCTTTAGCAGGGTTGTACTGAGGTAGGGTGAGTGGATAAAGGTGCATCATGAGACATAGGACATGACTGTACTACACCCCCTTTCCCAGACACCAAATCTGAGAAATGAGGCAGTGTGTGCCTCTTTAACACATGCCCAACAGTGCTGTCTTTCATTGAGCAGGAGGATTTCTGTGGTGGTGTTCCTGGGTGTGTCATGCAAATAATCTGAGTGCCCTTTTGATTTTCTCTTTCTGAAGGGGGGAGGGAACTGGAGGAGGAAATTGCTCTGTACATTCCCTTTAATGTACCTGCTCTTCCCTTGTGGAGTGATTGTGCTTTTCTTTAGTTGAATTTTTCAAGTGCTGTTCAGCAAGGATAGCTGGGTTTTTTTGTTTTTTACTAGCAAGTCATTGCTACATGTGAAACCTGGTAAAGCACACCTTCTGGCAGGAGCATTTTGCCACTCCAGAGTAGGTTTCATCCCTTGATGAAAGGCCCACACAAGGCTGCTTACACACCTGACACCTTGGATTCAGACAGAAGTGCAGCTCCCTGCTGTAACTGAGAACACTTTGCAGGAAGGGTTCTGAGTTACAAGAATCCCCTGGAGCAAGAAGAAGTTCACTGTTGGTTACAGGGAGGAGGGGAATCTAGCTGCTGGCTGAGAGCCTACAGCCAGTTTCCCCCAGCAACAACCCCAGCTCCCTGTGAAGCTGCAAAGTTTTCAGAACAAGAGGGTGGAAAGGGAGCAGAGGGAGCTCGTTTTAGGGGTTCCCCAGAGGGGAGGGTGAATCAGAGTCTTCCTCCACCTTGGCCAGGGTGGGGGGACTCCAGTACACCTACCCCACCCGCCAGCAGGGACTGAACCCCACCCCCAGACCAAACTCCTTCCACTCCCTTTCCCCTCTCCCATTCTGAAAACAGCTTCAGGCTGGCAGTCGAAGCAGACAGAAGTTACAGAAGGTGCTCTGTTTGGAAATGTCTTCATCTGACCCCTCATACAATTTTCACCCAAACGGCCATTTTTGAAGCTGTCTGCAGCCATGTTCTTGTATTTGATCGTGGCTATAAACCACTTTCTGTGGCCAGATCAGGCAAAAATTGTCACTTTTGTCTGCACCCCCCTGTGTTAAGTGTTATAGTGGTGCTGAAGTGGTGTGAAGAGCCTTGGGCTCCTATACATGTGCAGGGAGGCTGCTCCGCTGTGCTGTAATTACCACACTCCAGCAGACTCCAGCGTCCCTGCACTGAAACATGGCGGAGGGACACTTTTAAAAGCTTGTTTGATCTTTAGTTCAAAGTGCCTCACCACCGTTTTTCAGCCCAGGGACACTGATGCACGTGATGCTCCATGCCCTTTTAATTAGCGTAGCTCTCAGAGATGTGCTAATTAAAGTGCCCCCCACAGCCTCCTGGAGCATGTCTATAAATGCCTCTTGTGACTAAGTGTGTTGGTGAGCAAATTGGTGAGTCACTGCCTACACTCACCTGCCTCTGCTGCCAGAGCTAATCCACCAGAGCTTATGTATCACCAGGTTTTTCTGGAGGGTTTGAATGACTTTCCTCAACAACTGTGCAACCGATGTACATAAGGTTTAGTAGGCTGCAGCTGCAGAGAGAGAGACTGGGACTGTACATGCATGCTTTCTGCTCTCAGAGA